AGGGAGAGGAGGAGGAGGAGGAGGAGGAGGAGGAGGAGGAGGAGGAGGAGGAGGAGGAGGAGGACCGCCGCCCTGCAGCAGCCGCGCGGCGCACGACGCAGGCCCTGGCCTGCCCTGCCCTGGCCGCCACGGGCTCAGGCCATCCGGTTCCACCCGCTCTCGGGGCCAGAGGTGTGGAGGTCGATGAATGGAGCGGAAGCATGCTGCCGAGTAATTGCCAGACGTCTAAAACATGTGATAAACATGTTTTAAACATGTAAAACATGCTTAAGCCATGTAAACCATGTTGAACCGTGTGTTTAAACATGTCAGAAAGGTGTTGACAAGGCTTCCCCGACCCGGCGCCCACCCGGCGACCCGGCCCGGACCCGGCCCGGACCTGGCCTGGACCCGGCCCGGACCCGGCCCGGACCCGGCCTGGACCCGGCCCGGACCCGGCCCGGACCCGGCCCGGACCCGGCCCGGACCCGGCCCGGACCCGGCCCGGAACCGGACCCGGCCCGGACGACCCGGCCCGGACCCGGCCCGGACCCGGCCCGGCCCAGGCCCGGCCCAGACCCCGCCCGGACCCGGCCCGGACCCAGACCCGGCCCGGACCCGGCCCGGACCCGGCCCGGCCCCAGCCCTGACCCGTCCAGGACCCGGCCCGGGCTTGGCCTGGACCCGGCCAGGAACCTGGCCATCACGATGACGATGATGATGAGAAGGGTGATGATATGACGACGATGGCGATGACGATAGCGATGTAGATGACGATGATGACGATGATGATGATGATGATGATGATGATGATGATGATGATGATGATGATGATGATGATGATGATGATGATGATGATGATGATGCTGATGCTGATGCTGATGCTGATGCTGATGCTGATGCTGATGCTGATGATGACGATGATGATGATGATGGTGGTGGTGGTGATGATGATGATGATGGTGATGGTGGTGGTGGGGATGACGATGATCATGATGATGAACATGATGGTGATCGTGATCATGATCATGATGGCGACGACGATGATGGTGCGGAGTTGCGGAGACGGGGGAGGGATGATGATGATGATGATGATGATGATGATGACGATGCCGATGATGACGGTGGTGATGGTGAGAAGGATGATGATGGTGATTATGCCGATGATCATGATGAGAAGGGTGATGAATCTGATGATGATGATGATGATGATGATGATGATGATGATGATGATGATGATGATGATGATGATGATAGTACTGACGGCACTGATGACGATGTTGCTGATGATGGTCACGATGATGTGGACATGTGGACAGCAGCGGGAAGGACGGTGGTGATGACGGCGATAATGATGATCATGGTGGTGATGATGATGATTATAACGGTGATGATGGTTTCAAACATGAAGGATATGAGAAGGAGAAGCAAGACGAGGTACAGGAGGAGGAGAATGATCAGGAGACGCAGACGGGGAGGGCTGGGGGATCAGGAGAAGGACGAGGGTTGGACGGGAAAAGGAAGACGAGGAGGAGGAGGAGAAGGAGGAGGAGAACGATGGGGGCGAAGGCGATTGTTAGCGACCAGGATGACGACGGGGACGAATCATTCATACAGGAGTCTGTCGAGCTTCCGCTCTTTGGACCCTCTTGGGGGCCGTTTTGGAGCCCTCTTTGGGCCTTCATGGGCCATACTGGGGCATCCCATGTGCAGTTTTCGAAGTGCTCCAGCCCATTTCCCATGAGGCATCTTCGGACCTCTGGGCTCCGAGACGTCTTGATTTGAGTTGGTCTGGCCGGTTCCGCCTGAGACGTCCTCGCAATTTCAGCCTCAAGACTTGCTCTCTCACGAGGACCTGGCCACAGGTACACCATGGGGCGTTCGTGGCATCTTCCGCCTGTGCACCCCCGCCTGTTTCGATAGCCTCCTCGCCCTCCCCTTCCCCTCACCCCCGTGCTCATTTACCCCGTCATTTTCCCCCTCCCCGTCATCCCTCCTCCCTCTTGCCATTCATTGCCACTCTTCCCTTGCTCATCTTCCTTTTTCTCCCTATCCTGCCTTGCTCTCCATTTCCTCCACTCCCTCTCCTTCCGCAGCCTCCCGAGATCAATCATCCCTCGGCACGCGCTTGGCCCATGACGGACCCTCCTAAGAAGAGCAAGCGTTACAGGGAGAAGGTCATCGCCAACAAGTTGCGCAGAAGGGAACAGCGTGCACGCAAGTTCGCTCAGAGCGCTCGAGTGGCCGGCCTGCTCAAAAAAAACCCAGATCCAAGTCAAGAAGGAACACGCCCAGAAAATATCGGCCTTGACCGAGCAGCTGAGGGCGAAAACCCTGGAGTGCAACAAGTACGCCAAAGAGAACGGGAGGCCGGGCGGGGCGACGCTTACCCACTCCCGCCCTGTTCGCTCCAGTTGTTCAGTCCCGCGGGGGCCCCCGTGCCCTTGCCGCGGACCGAGCAGCAGGGAACGGCGGCGGGCAATGGATGCGTTCGCCCGCCCGTAGGCTTCGGAACCTTGGCGCCGAAGTGGACCGCCTGAGCGAGGACAAGAGGAACCTGCAGAGGGCCCTCGCCTGCCGAACGACAGGAGACAACCGAGCCACCAACCAACTACAACGGCAACTTCAAAAACTCACCGAACAGAACGCCGAACTGCAGACCGCCGCCCAGGACTTGAAGACCACCGTCCAGGACTTGAAGAGCGAGCTCAAGACTTCGAAGAAACGCGACCACGAGCTCTGGCACCACAGGATGTTCACGTCCTGGATCATGGGGAAGGCGAACCCCGGCACCCTGAAGTTCCTCAAATACCACTGGTGGAAGGCCCCTGACCGGCGGGGCCCCTCGGACGGGGGCCGCGGCGGCGGCCAGTAGCCTGGCCGCGGGCGCGCGGGGGAAACGGCGAACCCAAAAACGTTTCTCTCTGCCGCTCGGGAAAGGGGCGGGGGCAGCAGGGCAGGAAGGCGGCAGACGGGAAGGGCGAGCGCCTTCAAGGCCGCAGATTTATTCGCGAGCTTGCGCTTGGGACGCCGCCCAACTCCCCGCGCCGACCCTGGGCTGGTTCCCGGCCCCACGTGGGCCGGGCGCCGGCTTGTCGTGGCCTGGTTCCGCGCCGGATTCGCCCCAGCCCGCGGCCCGCCCCCGACCCGCGTGCGGGCCCGTTTTTCGCCGGCCGATAATCCAGCCTGCGCCCGGCGCGGAGCCCAGTCAGTCTTCGGTCAGCTTTATAGCCCGGCCGCCCTCTGGCCAGCCAGGGGCCGACGTCCGCGATCCCCGCGCGACGCCCTCAGCCAGCCCACCAAAGCCTGCCCCTGGCCGGCTTCCAGCCGGCCCTCGGCCGGCCGGAGCCTTCAGGCGGCTTCCAGCTGGCCTTCAGCCGGCCTTCGGCCGGCCACAAGCCGGCCCATGGCTGGCCTTTCGCCGGCCTGGCCTCTACCCGGCCTTGCCCCTGGCGCCCCCTTCGCCGGCCTCGAGCTGGCCCTTAGCTGGCTTCTACCTGGCCCTATAGGAAGTCCTTAGCTGGCCTCTAGCCAGCCCCGCTCTTATCTGGGCGCGGAAAGAATGGGTGCAATGCCCAACAGCAGTTCCTGTTCACTTTGAACAGGATTCGCTGTCCGCGCGCCGCGGACTGTGTCCATTCGAGACAGGATGCCGCCTGCCCAACAGCGGCCGCCGTTGGTTTGGGACGAGATTTGCTGTTGGGCGTTGCACCCATTTCCGTGCCCATTTCGGGCGTCCAAATCGTAGGCTGCCCCTTTTCGCTGGCTTTCGGCCGGATAGCCAGCCTTGCTGGCCTCTGCCTGGCCGCCAGGCCTGTAGCCGGCCTCTAGCCAGCGGTCGAGCTGGCCCATGAGCCGGCCCTCAGCCAGCTTCTTGCCAGCCCTGAAAAAAAAGCTTCTCGCCGACCCTCAGTCGGCTTGGCCGGCCCCGAACCGGCGACGCCGCAATCTACAGGGCGTCCGCCAGCCGACCTCGGGGGGGATCCACAAAATGGACCCCCCTTTGAAGGCCCTCCGCCTTTGAAGGCCGGGCGACGACGGGGAGGGAAGGATGTGGCTTTACGACTATAGGGACGACGGGCGCGATGACGGACAACAGACCAAGGACGACGGACGACGACGGTCGACGACGGACGACGACGACGACGACCGCCACGACGACCACGACGACCACGGCGACGACGCGACGACACGACGACGACGACGGGCTCCACCAGGGTTCCGCCAGCCGATTTCGGGGGGGATCCACAAAATGGATCCCCCTTTGAAGGCCCGGCAACGACGGGGAAGCAGGGGGAAAAGGAACAGGATGTGGTTTTACGACTAGGGACGACGGACGACAGACCACGGACGACGGGCGACGACGGACGACCGACGACGACGACGACGACGACCACGACCACGACGACCACGACGACGACGACGACGGGCGCGACGACGACGGCGACGACCACAGCGGACGCGATGACAGACGACGTGCGCGACAACGGACTAAGGGGGGTGCCTGGGAGGGCGCTCAGGGTTGAAGGGGGGTGTCTTGGGTTACAAGGCCGTGGATTTCTGGGCTGAGAATGCCTCGCGGGTGTCTGAGTGTGGAAGCTTCGAACTAGACAAGGGCCCCCCGCATCGCCCTTCGCCCGCGCCAGGGGCGTCGTCTCCACCTTCATCGCCCCGGTCATCGCCGCCGTCGGCTCAAGCGCCCAGGCTCTCTTGAGCCAGATGGCGGCAGGCGCTCCGTTGGGGCGCGATTTCTCAGTGACCACAGTGCTCACTCCCCTTCCACCGGCAGCCTTCGGTGATGTGGCGCGGGTGCTTTCCGCGGCCCCCTCGGCCTTGGCACTGCCTTTCGCCCGGTGCTCGCGGAGCGGAACCACGGGGTCGAGTTGCCCGACAACGCCGTGACGAATGTCATTTGGAAGCTCGCTCACTATCTTAATATCGGCAAGGGCGTTGATTTTGATTTCAACAATCCGTGCCTCAAAGAACTGCAAAAGCTTGTGCCTTCGGCCCCCGCATTTGAGGTGCGCTCCACTCACGGTCGTTGCCCCCGGTGCCACATTGCAGACCTCCAAAAGTGCGCCCCAAAGACAAGCAGCCGGGTGGCCTTCAATGTTCAACGGCGCAATGGCGGCAAGATGGTTCTGGAGACCCGGTGCCGCGTTTACACCATGGGCGCCGGGACCCAGAACGCCTCCTTCTCGGAGGAATACTGCCCCAAGTGCGCCTTGTATTTCCTCGGGCAGTGGCGGTGCGAGAAGCACGACAGAAGTAGCGGGCGAGGGACTTACGGGAAGATGATAAACATCAAGCTCGTTTCGGGGTCCAGCTCCCTCAAGTATCTCTTCGTTCCGCGCGAGAAGGCTTGGCACGCCGTCGACGCGAAGCTATTGCAGTTCCTCGCGGACGAGCTACACCACAGAGGGGGGACATTCAATTCTGCAGTTCTGGCATGGGGCGAGCAACGCACTGAGCTCGCGCAGCGAGGGCTGATTCCTGGCGAAGACTTGACGCTTCTACGAGCCAGTGGCGTTCGCTTGGAGGACGCTTGGTATGCGCACCACGCTGCCCGCCTTGCCGGCGGCGCCGCATCCGAACTCACGTGGTCTTTCACCAGGGGCGGCTTGGAGTCGACGTTGCTCGCTCTCGCGCCAGCCGCGCGCCAAGCCCACGTCGAGCGCGCCGTTGAGCACGCCCGCACTTGCCCGAAGTGTGCTGGCGATCTCCTTGTCCTTCTGGACGGGGAATACGGTGCGCGTCGATTCATGTGTGGCGGGCTGGACGGTTACGAAAACATGGGCACGCTGCAAATGAAACTCTACACGGGGTGTCTGAAGAATGCCCCCGCCGGGCGATTCTTCTGCGCTCAATGTCAGACGGCGCGCGCTGGACAGGACAATCTCATCCCGCAGACGCAGATTTTGGGCATCGCTCCCGCGGCCGCCCCGAACGGCGAAGCGTCTGCCCTGAGATACCTGGTGTGCTGCTCGGATCCAGACAATCCGAGCGAGACCTTCGACGCCTTCCTGCCGAGGGCGGAAGTATCACAAGTGCTGCTAGCAACCTTCGAGAAGTCTCTGCTTCCAGCAAATGGAGACCATGGGAACAAGAAGGCGCGGCCTGCGTGGCTCAAAGGCCACCGACAGGTCACGCGCTGGCTGAAGGCGCAGAACCCAGCGTGCCGAGGGGGCGCCAGCCCCGGGGCCGCCGCCGCTGCTCGCGGCCGAGGCGCGGGCGGCCGCGCGGCCGCCAGGGGGCGAGGCGGCGCCCGGGGGCGCCGCGGCCGCGGTCGCACTTCCGCGGCGACGGCCAGTTCCCGCCGACCAGCGGCAGCAGGGCTGCCAAGGAAGAGGAAGGCGCCCGCGCCGAAGCGAGCTGGCCGCCCCGATTTCACGGCCGCCCGCTCCTCTGCGCCACAGCCGCCGAGTCGCCCCACGCGCGGCGGCGGCGGCGACGCTGCAGGTGCGAAGCGCCAGCTTTGCCACGGCTGGCTTGCGCTGGACGAGGAACAGAAGCAGTCGATCCTGGCCTGCGGCGTCGACAAGCTCCAGGGCTCCGACAAAGTCCGGAGATGCACTGGCGGTGTTATGACGGCCGCCACGTCTTGCGGCTGGCTCATGGATTGGATGGAGCTGACCCGCGGCGAATGCATCGAGGTCGTGTACGCCTTCGCCTTGCGGCTCCACAAGGACCCTCGTCGCTGCGGGGCACTTTGCTCGATCTGGCGCCCCGCGAAGATGGGCGGATCCCCAGGAGGGAGGAAAAGGGGTAGGAGCGGGACAACACAGCGCCGAAAAGCTCCGGGCGGCCCCCGCCGCGCGACTCGCGAGTGCAGCTGCGCTGCGTTGTCCAAGTTTGCCTTTTTCCTCCCTGCGGAGCCCCCGCTCGCCTTCGCGGGCCCCTCGATCGCTCGAGAGGACGCCCGGGACCTCGGCTGCGTCGTCGGGTGGCTCGGCTACGACAACGCCTGCAAGTTGCTCTCCATGGCGCGCGCCAAGAAAGATGATTTTCTGCCGTGGGCGAAATCGCTGGCTGAGGAAGTGCGCATTGTCCTGGGCGGTTTCCACAGGGACAACCACGCGTGGTGTCTGTATGCGCTCCCGGAAGTTGACCCGCTGCAGCCGGCGAACGAGAAGTTTTTGGCGTTGAAGAACACGGAGGCTTGCGAGCAGCTCAATGCGTGGATCTGCCCCCTGACGCGCATGTGCCTCGAGATGACGAGAGCCCATTTCCAGCTCCACTGGTGGATATCATGGCTGATTCGCCATTCCCGACTGCGCCCTTCACGCTCGCGGGGCCCGCGAGCGCTCTTTGCTGGCGGGTGGGGCGAGGCAGGTTGAGGGCTCCCGGGTCGAGAACTTCGGAACACTCCCCCCGCGCGCCGCGCGCCGCTGCTCCGACGGGTGCCCCCATCGGGGCTTGCAGATTCTGTTCGATGTCCATAACGAGTGGCTGCAGCGCGCGGCGGCGAGCAAGCGCCGCCGCTTCGCCGCCGGGGCCCTGAAGCGCGACCCTGACCCGCCGGCCCCGCGCACGCGCCCGGCGGCTTGAGCGGAGCGATCTGGGCCAGGGCAGCCGAGGCCGCAAAGGCGACCTCGATTGCGCGCCCGCCTTGGCCCCGCCCCCGCGCCAAGCCGCGGCGGGCCCGAGCGGCGCCAAGGGGGGCGATTGGCGGGGCTTGCGCAGGCGGGGGCGATCGACCTCACATCGCCATTGCGTCGCCGATCGGGGCCCGGGCCCCGCGCGGCCCACGCCGACCCATCGTCGATGCATCGCCGAATCCAAGTCGTTCTCCCCCGCCGAGCCAGCAGGCCCGCCCATCGCCCCCCTCGGCCGCGCGCGCAAGGGCGCGCCGTCCCAGCGATGCATTTGGCCGCCCGAAGGAAGGTCTGGCGGCTCTTGACGAGGCCCAGGAGCGGCGCCACTGGGCAGTTCGTTTATTCGATTCGGCGAACTGGCCCCACGAGGCACCCGCGCCCCCCACGGGGCCCCTCCGAGCCCGCCCGCGGCAAGCTCTCTCGCCGCCGCAGACCTTATCGACCGAGTCTGCGCGGCGCGCCGCCCGCTGGCCGCGCCGCCCGCCCGCCCCTGCTAGGCCCGCGCTGCTGGCCGCCATGCCGCCTGCCAGCGCATTGATGTTCGCGTTGTGCTTCCGCATTGCGGGCGTCGCCGGGGCGGGGAAGGGCGCCCGTCGAACGGCCCGCTCCGCGGAGGGCTCGCAACCCCCCGCGCTCACCAAGGGGGAGATCCGAGCAGCCTATCGCCTAATGGAGAGTCAAAACCCATTTCCCGAGGAGGTCGCGCGGCGCGCGTCGCCGCTGACGTGGGCCATCGCGACTGCGCTGGGGGAGGCGACGTCGCTGCGCCCCTCCTGCGTGTACGTCCACATCCTGCTCCTCATTGCGACGACGTTGGGCGCCGTCCAGCTCAAGTACGGCGGGGTCCTTGCGCGCCACTGCAACCTGCTCATGCTGCAGCGCGGCGAGCCGGGAGATGGCAAATCCATTGCCTTGTGGCTCGACGTTCAGATCCTGTCCTACTACGACCAGGCGAGAGAGGCCCGCGGCAAGCGGAGGCACGATGCCGCTCTCGAGAGAGGCATGAGCGAGACCCGGAGACCGAACCCAAACCAGAAAAGAAGCCAGAGAAGGATTCCATTTTCAACAAGGGTACCTCCATTGGCCTTGGAGGGTTCATGCAGGCGCAAGAGGATACCGCGTTCCTGGCGCTGCGCGAGGGGAAGACGCGGCTGCCCCAGACGTTCGACAGTGGGCCTGGCGGCGGCATTGATGACCTCAACCAAATCCACGACCACGACCTCTACAATAATCACCCCGGTAACAGCCAAAACAGGTTCCGCGTCAGGAGCCCGCACTTGCGCGGGGCAGTCATGGTGCACGTCGAAGAGGTTTATGACCAGGCGCAGAAACCAGACTCAACAGCGGGCATGATGCGCTTCCTCGTGGGCCACTTCATCGCGGTGGTCAACAAGATCTTGCCCGACTTGCCTCCGCCGCAGCTTGCCCGGATCCTGGATAGCGACCCGAATTACTTCAACGATCTGACCTACGACGACGTCGTGGAAGCGCTGGGGGGGGGGTCATGCTGGTCTCGTCTCTCCTGTTCCCGAAGGGCAAGGAGCGCCGTGACGAGAGGGGCTCGAGCGATCGCTTCTCCAGAGTTCGCGGGGCGCACTTCCTGCCCTGGGCCCCAGAAGTCAAGGAGCACTTCCGCACCGTTCAGCAAGTCTGCCGATTTCGTCCGCGGCGAGGCCCGGGCGTCCAAGGGGGATAACGAGGACAGCGGCTATTCCGCCGTCCGGAAGGACATGACGCGGACGCTCCAGTTCATCCCGCCGATCGACGTGGGGGAGAAAGTGGTGGGATTCCTCCTGGGGAAGGCCGGCAAGAATGATAACCAGGTACAGGAGATGACTGGGGAGGAGATTGTGGAATGTTTGGGAAAGCATGCCCACGCGAACATCGACGCCCTCTTGGACGACTTGGACCCGCCCCACTTCCCCCCCCGAGGTGGCGCGGCCATCAGTTGACGCCGACGTGGCGTTGGGGGGCTGGTTTGCCAAGAACTTCCAGATGACGGTGCGCGCCAAGGAGGGAACTAAAGACTTCATGGAGGCCCGCGCGCGTTTCGCATCCACACCGCCCCCCACCCTCGCGTCTGCGGAAAGGCTCGTAGGGCATGATATCGTGTCTAAGGTAAACCCCATGCTTACCTTGCAGCGCATCGCCAACAATTGGAACGTCAAAGCTTTCGCGCAGAACCCCTTCACCACCGACGCCGACATCAGGGCTTTGCAGCTGGATTACGTCATTCTGACGCACATGGGCTTCCTCCTCGTCGCAGACGGTCGCGTCGCTGTGGCTGCGTACGCGGCCGACAGCGAGAGCTTCGTGAGAGCCGCCAACCGCGTGATGAAGTGGGACCCCAGCGTCGCCCTCCGCGACCTGCGCGAGTTGGCGCCCGAAGGCGCTGCGGGCGCGCGCGAGGAGGGGGACCAGGGCGTGGCCGATCAGATCTGCCAAGGCTTGAAGGACATGCTCGACGGCAAGCCGGTGGATCTTGACCGGCCCCGCGCTCTGGAGGCCCCTCTCGTCGCCGAGGTGCGCGGCCAGAGCGTGCCAGCGTCGCAGGTGGGCGCCCCTCCGCCCGTGGGCCCGCCGAGCCAGCTTGGCGCTTCGGCCGCGACAGCGCCGGGGCTCACGCAAGCCGCGCTCCCGGCCGCAGACGAGGCAGCAGCAGGAGCTGGAGGCTCTCGCAAAAGGATGCGCACTGAGGCCCCGCTGGCGGAGGACAGTTTCGAGGAGGAGCCTGGGCTCAAGAAGAGGATCCTGGTGTCTATCCTGAGCAGCGCTCAGAGACCGCACACGGCTGCCAAGAACAAGTCCTCGTTCACTGGGGCCACCCCAGAGGTCATCGAGAGTTCCATGCGCCTGATGATTCGGTTCGCCGACGCCGCTGGCTTCGGAACGCTCCAACACGGAGGGTCCGCGGTGCAAACGCACCAGGTGCCTGCCGAGCACAAAGACGCTGTTTACCAGGAGCTCCAATCACGCTTGGGCCTCATGCCAAAAGGCACAAAGAAGATGAAGGATGCAAATGATGCTCGGGTGCCGTCGTCGGACTTCGACTTATGAGCAAGGCCTCCCTTCTGGGGGACATCTAGAAGAACGCCGCCTGATGTCGGCACGGCGCGCGAACATGGTTGCGTTTCCGCTTCGGTGCCGCTCGCTGCACACATGGTTGCGGCCTTGGCTTTTGATTCATCCCACGCGGACCTGGGAGAAAACACAGGCGCGCCCATCCATTCAATGTGATCGTCTCTTATCAGAGTGAGGGGGCCGAACGGCATTCACTGTCCCTGGGTGCGTGGCTGAAGTTGGATTCAGCGGTGCGGATTCTCGTTGTTGTTGTTGTTGTTGCTTGTTGTTGTTTCTTGTTGTTTGTTGTTGTTTGTTGTTGTTGTTGTTGTTGTTGTTTGTTGTCGTCGTCCCACCCGCAACCCGCCCACCCCGCGACCCACCCCGCGAGCCACCCCGCGACCCACCCGCGACCCACCCGCGACCCGCCAACGACCCACCCCGCGACCCACCCCGCAACCCGCCCGGCGACCCACCCCGCGACCCGCCCCGCGAGCCACCCCGCGACCCACCCGCGACCCACCCGCGACCCGCCCGCGACCCACCCCGCGACCCACCCCGCGACCCACCCCGCGACCCACCCCGCGACCCACCCCGCCCACCCGCGACCCACCCGCGACCCACCCCGCGACCCACCCCACGACCCACCCGCGACCCACCCGCGACCCACCCGCGACCCACCCGCGACCCCGCGACCCGCGACCCACCAACCCACGACCCACCCGCGACCCACCCGCGCGACCGCGACCCCCCGCGACCCACCCCGACCCCCCCGCGCCCACCCCGCGACCCGCGACCCACCCGCGACCCACCCGCGACCCACCCGCGACCCACCCGCGACCCACCCCGCGACCCACCCGCGACCCACTTTCGACCCGAACCACGTTCAAGGTACAAATCACAATTTTCGGCGCCTGCGGCGGGTTTTTTTTGCATTCCTTCGGGTGGAGAGCCCGCGACCCACCCCGCGACCAACTCGCGACCTAAACCGCGTTCAGGATACAAACCACATTTTTCGGCGCCTGCGGCGGGCATCTTTTGCATTCGTTTCAGGTGGAGAGCCCGCGGCCCACCCGCGACCACGTTCAGGGTACAAACCAATTTTTCCGGCGCCTGCGGCGGGCATGCAAACCAATTGTTTCGGCGCCTGCGGCGGGTTGCTTTTGCATTCCTTCCAGGTGGAGGTGGAGAGCCCGCGACCCACCCGCGACCTAAACCACGTTCACTGAACAAACCAATGCCGCACAAGCGCGGCGGCGGATTTTTGCATGCCGTCTGAGCCCGCAACGACCTCTTCAAGCCCCGCGCATCCACACCAGCCCGTCCAGCAATTTTGCCCTGGCGAGTTGCCTTGATCAGAGAAGTCGGGGAGCATAAAGTGGAAAAAGGGATCGCGTTGCCGTTATTTTGGGAAAGAAGGGGGAGGCAAGAGGAGTAAACAGGGGACGAGGAGGACGCGGAAAAAGAGAGGATGTAATGAGAATGTGGAGGAAGAGGAGCAGGTGGACGAGGAGGAGGAGGGGGAGGAAAAGGGAGGAGGAGCATGAGGAGGGGGAGGAGGGGGAGGAGGGGGAGGAGGATGATGATGGACGACACTGGGAGGAAGATGATGGAAGGACGAGGGGGGGAGAGGGAGGACGAGGAAGAAGAGGAGGAGGAGGACGACAAGGTGGAGGAGGAGGATGACGATGACGATGAGGACGAGGACGAGGAATCGAAGGAGGAGGAGGAGGAGGAGGAGGAGGAGGAGGAGGGGGAGGAGGAGGAGGAGGAGGAGGAGGAGGAGGAGGAGGAGGAGAGCGTCATCGAAGGGAAGGTGGGGGCCACGAGGTCCGCCGGCTCGACGACGCCCGCGTCGCCCGCGCCCGCCCCCTCACTCTTATCCGCAATTGCGGGGTGCTACGTATTCTTTGCCAGCGATCACATGGACACGCTGCCCTTCGATGTCCGAAGCGGGAGCGGCTTCACCTTTCCCAATCGTCACCGCCACACGATCACATCATATCATCATCAACATCATCATCGAAGACGCACACAGCCAATTACCGCCGCCCCCCTGCTTGTTGGGGAACGCCTCTGTGGTCAAACGTTGGACCCTAGCTTGGCCAAGCTATCGGATAATGTGCCCCCCCAGCCGCTGTGGAAATCTTGGGGGGGACGCTATCGGATTACGCGTCCCCCCAGCCGTTGTAGAATTTTTTGGGAGAACACTGGGGGGAGGATGAAATGGAGGATCAGGGGAGGAAGGAATCTGATGATGACGATGATGGTGATGATGGTGAAGATGATGATGGTGACGCTGCTAATGACGATGCTGATGATGATGCTGCTGATGATGATGATGATGATGATGCTTATGCTGATGATGATGATGCTGATGATGATGATGATGATGATGATGATGATGATGATGATGATGATGATGATGATGATGATGATGATGATGATGATGATGATGATGATGGTGATGACGATGATGTTGATGAAGCGCACTCCATGGCGGAGCTCCTGGAAGCCACGTGACCACAGAACAATTCGCCGGCCCAACGGGCCAGAGGCGTGCTAAGATCTCCGGTAACTGCTCTACAATGTTTCTACTTCGCGCGCGCGGGGCGGCCCCTGGGGGGTCCCCAGACGAAAAGTACCCCGACCAGGTCCCGGCCGGTCCCCAGCAAGGTCCCCGGCAAGGTCCCCGGCAAGGTCCCCGCAAGGTCGGGCCAGAGATGCCGGAGCCCTGTTACAGGGCCCCAGGACGGGCCAAGAGGCCCCCAAGAAGCCTCCAAGACGGTCCAAGAGGGCCCCGAGACGGCCAAAGATCGCCCGAAGACGCCCAACAGGGCCCCAAGACAGCCCAAGAGGCCTCCAAGACGCCCCAAGGGCCTTCCAAGAGGCCTCCGAAGAGGGCCCCAAGAGGCCAAAATCGTTGATTTTCATTGTTTTTTTCGCTGTTTTTTGCGTTCTGGCTTTTTCGGCTTCCGGACGCTCCAAGACGGCCCAAGAGGCCCCCAAGACCGCTCCAAGACGGCCCATGAGGCTCCCAAGACGGCCCCGGAACGGCCCAGGAGGGCCCCCAAGACGGCCCAAGTGCCGCCCAAGACGGACCAAGAGGCCCCAAGACGGGCCCAAGAGGGGCTCAAGAGGGGAACCGAGAACTGAAAAATCGAGCCCTCCGCCCCAGAAGGCGCCCAGGAGGCCCCAAAAAGGCCCCAAGAGGCCCCCAAGAGGCCCCCAAGACGCCCCAAGAGGCCCAAAAGAGGCCCAAAAGAGGCCCCAAAACGGCCCCAAAACGGCCCCCAAGAGGCCCCAAAACTCGGCTAGCCCACAACTGTGCGACAATATGGGCCGGCGGAATGAGCGAAGCGATTAAATAATCAGACCCTGTCCGACTGTTTTTTGCATCCTAGAGAAAGGGTAAATTCGTGAGCAAATCTGTGGTGGGCGGCGGGATCTATCGAGCTGACGGGATTGAAAGCTGTAGTCCACCCGCTGTTGTCCCACCTGAGCACTCTGCCACGCGAAAATATGGAATCACGCTTTCGAGGGGATGCCGAAGGAGGAGGATGCTGATGATGATGATGATGATGATGATGATGAGGAGGAGGAGGAGGAGGAGGAGGAGGAGGAGGAGGAGGAGGAGGAGGAGGAGGAGGAGGCGGCATCTTGGGAGCCTCTTGGGGCACTCGTGGGGCCTCCTGGGAGCTTCTTGGGGGCCCTTGGAGGCCTCGTGGGGGCCTTTTGGGGGCCTCCCAGGGGCCTTTGCGGTTTTCGCGGGGGCGTCTGTGGCCGTTTTACCGCGTTCGTGGCCCGTCTGACGCCGTCGGGAGCCGTCTTGGGGCCATCTCTGCACCGACTTGGGCCCCCCTTTGGATGCATCAGGGCCGTCTCGGAGGCCCAATTCGAACGTCTTGGAAACCTCTTGGGCCGTCTTGGAGCTCTCAAGGGGCCGTCTTGGGGGCCTCTTGGGCCGTTCTTGGGCTATCTTGGAGGCCTCTTGGCCGATTTTGAAACGATTTGGGGGGGCGGTTGGGCCGTTTTGGGCCGTCGGAAAGCCGATAGAAGTAAATGCCAACATCCTGGCGTGCAATACGTCTGAAGCCGTGGTTTTGGTTCTTCTCCAAAGGAAAATCCCCTTGGGGCTTCGCCGAGCGCGCTGGCCTCTCGAAAAACCGCCCTCAACATACGCGTCGGTTTTCGGGCCGTAGATGGTCCAAGATGGCTTTCCAGACGGCCCGGGAGGGTGCAGGATTCCTCCAAGTCAGCTAAACAACCAACAGGTCGGCCCAAGAGGGCCTCAAGATGTCCGAAGACGGTCCAAAAGGCTTCCAAGAGGCCTACGGCCCAAGAAGCCTTCAAAGAGGTACTCGGGGCAGGCCCGAAGAGGCCAAAATCATGAATTATCATCCGGTTTCTGCAGGCACCGCTGTGATAAATGAACAAGGGGCGGCGGATCCAGAGGCCTTCGGCCCATCCCGCCACTATGTTTGGGATGTGGGTCAAAGGCTTGCTGGATGCTGTTGCGGGTGTCTTGAGGTTTCCGCGGGGGCCTCACGGGAACAGTTTTGAAGCTTCCAGGGTGCTTCTTCGAGAATTTTTGGGGGCTTTTGAGCGACATCATGGCGGCCCGGACCCGGCCCGGACCCGGTGCCCAGGTTTCGGCCCGGACCTGGACCCGGCCCGGAGCTGGCCCGGACCCGGCCCGGACCGGCCCAGACCCGGCCCGGACCCGGCCCGGACCCGGCCCGGACCCGGCCCGGACCCGGCCCGGACCCGGACCCGACCCGGACCCGGCCCGGACCCGGCCCGGACCTGGCCCGGACCCGGACCCGACCCGGACCCGGCCCGGACCCGGCCCGGACCCGGACCCGGCCCGGACCCGGCTCACCTGCTCACCTGCTGCCGGCTACGCATGAGAATGACCTTTCGCCGAAGTGACTTCTGTTGCGGGGTCCCAAGATTCAGGAGGGGAAAAAACACACAGACACAATGAATCGCCGATT